AATGTCCTGGTACCATATATGCTTATGAGTCTTTCGTCTTATTGGTCTGAAGCACTTCTGAAGAGCTGGTTTCCATCTCTTCTTAATTTGCAGTCTTGTCTGCTTTTTGCAGGGTTTTTTCTCCTTTCTTTGCATTTGGTTTGAATGTATTTTGTCTTTTCATGGCATTTCATATTTCCTGTAAATTCATCCATTTGCACTGTGTTTGTACTTCACGATGGAGTATTAGGGCCAGGTACGAGATATTTTTTTTTTTCGATTTTGAGATATAATCGTAACATTACGAGATTAAAGTCATAAAATTACGAGAATAAAGTTGTAAAATTAAGAGAATAAAGTCGCAACCAGAATAGTCATAAAATTATGAGAATAAAGTGTAAATTTACAGTCATATGTTTTTTCACTGTTTTTATATATTTATTTTTTTTTAACTATTTTTCAAGGCCGCATTTTTAAAAAAGATAAAATTGTCTAGAGAGCTGTTCCAAACGAAATTTCCTTTTGTTTTATACTTGTTTTATACTATGACAAATAAAATTTGGGTAAGTCTAATCTGTCTAATAAAGTCTTAATATTATGAGAATAAAGTCATAAAGTTATGAGAATAAAGTTGTAACACTATGAGAGTAGTCATAAAATTAAGGGTATACAGTTGTTATATTAAGGGAATAAGGTCCTAAAATTACGAGAATAAAACTGTATTTTATGACAACTCCTACAAGAAGCACTGTCTTCCCTAAAATGAGGAATGTTGAGCATTATGTGAAGTTATACTTTGGCTCTGGTTTCACAAATAAGGAAATCTTTTAGCACACCAGCATCAAATTGGGCAGCAGGTCAAAGTGGCCTCAGGTTGCTGTTCGGTGGTGCTGGTCGGCCTTCATATGCTGATCAGAGCTCAAAGGTTTCTTTCTGAAACGGGTTGTGGTATGATGACTTCATTCACGTAATATTATGACTTTTTTCTTGTAATGTTACAACTTTACTCTCGTTATATTTAGGTTTATTCCCAAAATAAAAAATAAAAAAAATCTCTAGCCTGGCCCTAATACTCCGTTGTAGTACCTGTCTGCTACTGTACATGTTAGACATAGAACAGTATTTTAGCAATCTAATCTTTTATCTTTTTTTCTGCCAGCTGGTTGCCTTAAATGCACAGGGCAATTAAACCATAAACAGACTCTGCACATCTGTCTCCATTTAACAAGTTACAGTGTTTTTCTAATTAAAAACACCCTGGAGACCTGTTTAAAAAAGTCCCCCTCAATTTTATTAGCTTATTAACATTCTTCATTTGGTAACTTATTTAGATCAAATATATCCAGTTTAGCACTGAGTTATCATGTATTTACACACAAGAGTGGCTGTGCTGGATCTGAGCAGCTTCATTGTTTAAAGCAATGTGCTGCACATGCTGTCCCTCACTCTAATACATGTATTCAGGTTGTTGCTGGCTCAGGTGTGCGTCAGCAGTCAGTCAGGTCTCTATGCCCCAGTATATTCACATATCCCCTTTACCCATGTGAGAAATAGGCTGGGGAGGAGTCAAAGATGAAATGATCTCATTAAACCAACATGCACTTTGTTTCCTCTGATCAAAATGTCCAAAACAGTAAAACATCCCCTGTTACCAACTCTCACACCTAGATTGAAATCAATATTGGCTACAGCTGCTGGTGTGTTTTTTTACTGTTTTTAAGCATGAAAAATGATTTATATAACTACTGTTTTTGCTAGACAAGTAAAAGAGCCACATCACAAGGGATGTTTACTTTGCAATGATTCTCCTTAAAGCGTATTAAAATCATTTTATTCTGAAGAAGGTGTGAAGGTACTTTGGGGAGTATTAGGAAAGCAGGTTCAGCGCCTATTTTTGCTGTTTCCTTTTCTATACATTTATGTTCCTACTGCAATGGAAGAACTTCCCCTAAAGCAGTTTAAAGAAGTAAAATTTTAAGATTTACTGTTTGTATATTTATGACATAACAAATTCCTATTTACATGTTTTTGATCATTTTAACGCATCTATTAAATAAAGCTTACATGATACATATTCTTTTAGTATAATAAAGATAATTTAGTTACGATCTGCTGCTCCGGGTTTTTGGTTCTGTTTTCAAAATTCGTAATATTTGGGTGAAATATTTCTGTGAGTGCATCACACAGTAGCATTTGCAAACACATTGGATGTGACTTTTTCTTAACAAGAACAGTTTCTCCACAATATTACAAATTTTTGACTCTTCCACAAAGAGATAATTTCCTTCCAACATGTGGAGACCAGAATCATCAATACCTAAATATCAGGTTCCAATGGTATGTGAATATCTAACCAAGTTCCTATTTTATGAATTATACAATTTTTGTAATTTTGAAATTATTAAATGTATTTAATTTATCAGTAGTTGATTTTAGTGATGAATGTATTATGCATTCTATGGTATTCAGTAGAGTAATTAAATGTCTCTATGTCTATTGACAGGACTTTATTCAGCCCATTAATAGACTTTAATTTCTAGCTCTCTTTCTCTTTTGTGAAATTCAGTAAAAGAAGTAACAGTTTTCTTGTTGGGTGTCTGACTGACATGGCCATACTTCTGATTGAGTTTGCTTCTGATTGGTTTTTCAGTACCATGTGACTCTTCCTCTCCGGCTGTTGGGGAAGCTGAGACCTGAGGGGTGTTTCATAAAAAACGGACTTGGACACCCATTTTCAGACTTAACTTAAGCACAAAATGTGAAACCCTGATTACTAGGCTTCACCAAACACCAAATGCCTCAGTTACTTAATTTCACCAATACAAGACAGGTTCAACTAATCAGTTTTGTCACGCACATCAGCATAGTGTGCGGTCTATCACAGACGTTATTAAGAATTCCTGGCGGAACATGAATGACATTATTTATTGGTTAAAGGCTAGCAGGTGTTCAGAAATTTACTTTAAAAGTAAAGGGAAACACTGCTACCCTAATTGTGACAATGAACCATTTTTTATTCTGACAACGTTTAGTCTTTTGGTGTAAATATGGAAATGATTTTAGGAAAAAATTTAGTCCAATACTTCTTTTCAATTCAAATCTAGTTTCAGTCTGGAGATTTTACTCATATTTTTAGTCCCATTAACTTCTTATAGTTCATATTTCGTGAGATGTTTATTGACAAAAATCTTACTTGAAGTGAAGAAAAAATGAATTATTACAATCTAAGAAATTAACACTCTTTACAGATTTAACTGTAGTGAAAAACACAAAAGAAGCACTGCTTAATTTAAAATAGTAATATTCAGGCCTGAATTAACAGTTATTTGAACTACAGTATTTGTATTAATTAAAGTGCAGCTACAAAAAAGAGTGATGTCATATAGACTTGGGGAAGACTGTTAATGCCCGACTTTACCCTATACCGGTGAGGAGGTGCAGGCCCATGCAGTGTCAGGAGAATGGTTCTGCTGGAGTGCTGAGGTCCAATTAAGGCATTCATATAAAGTAACCCTTTCTAGAAAATCTGTGACATTCATGCAGATGTGACCCAGGAAAGACGCAAAGGTTGGTTGATTCTAAGCACTCCTTAAGGTAGCTCTTTCCTCTATAAACAGACAGGCCATCTCTGAGCCGCTGTGAGGATGCCTTTTATTGGCAGAGGGGAATGTTCCAAAGTCGGACCAGTTTTAAAAAATATGGTAGCAACAACTGTTTGGTTGATTGATAGATAATGTTTGGTAGATTTAGAGTGTATTTTGCTGATTTTTTTTAACCCATCTGCTTTGCTTTGAGAAATTATGGTGGAAATTAAAACTGGCTGACTCCCATTTAGAAAGAGGTAACATAAGATCTAGGCCACATTCTGCTTCTTCTGCTATTTGTTGCTTTCTGGAAGCTTTAAATTCCTTCCTTTCTTCTCATTAAAACTTGTATATAAATCAAGGTATTAAAACTCAGCACTATTAAACTTGCTATTTAATCCCCCAGAGAACCAAGTATTTTTGCATTTTGAATCATACCTAGAATATTATTTTTCTGTAGCAGTATGTTACCTAATCGATTGCATTTTAATGTAGCAGGACTTACTAAGAAGGATGATTAATGCAGTAGTTGCAAGTAACTTTACTGGGGAAAAATAAGTCATATCCAGAGGAAAATGCAGAATCGCCTTGCTTCTTTATAAGAGTAATGAAATTCATTGCATAAAAAGGTAAATAATTCATTCATTCTGACTGACGTCCTGAAATGATTATGAAACTGGGTGGTTACACTGTAATATAGGCTGGCAGGAGCAACACTTTAACTGTAAAAAGTCTAATAAACATGTTAGCAAGGAAAATGTACAATAAAGTGTTAGAAGGAAAAAGTAGATATGCTGCAGGCAGCGTTTTTCTGTATTTTTGTTTTCTGTATTTTTTTTCTAACCAATGCACTTCCTCTTAAAGCCTCCCTTTTGCAATGACGTAGGTATGTTCTGTAAAATAAAGTTTTGAGTTACCTGCTGTTGCTTCCGTGTTTACCAATCATCAGTTATAAGAGGTGCAGTTTACAGCTGCCTGAATGACCATTGAGAGGCAGCTTTATGCAAACCATTGCAGTAGGACAGCAGTTCATAGTAAAAGGGAATGTCCTGCTGCATCTACAGTATATTTAATTTAAAAGTTCTGTTGAGGGAGGGATGCATTTAAACAAAAGAGCGTATACAAATGAAACCTGACACTCTTGGAGTTTAGCTGCAGAGAGAACATTATGTCCTCTATTGTACCCATCACTGTCCTAGTCCACAGAGGAAAACCTTATACTGATCTACATCATATGCAAAAGCAAAAGTTACAAAAATTAGATGTGTCCAAGATCTAATCCAAGATCAGTTTACTAGTAACCATCCTGATATCACTGTAGGTGCTTTCTCTCTTATTTACAAAAAGCATGCAGAAGGCTTACCTGGATTCCCCTCCTTAACTGGAGCCATCAGGATAGATTGATTCAGATTATCTCCTCTATATCTGCAACCTGGTTGATTATAAAAGCTTTATAGCTGTGTGGGAAGGTTTTTAATGCTGTGCAGTCGCTCCTCCTCCTCCCCCTGATGTCAGCTCTGCTCTATGCGCTGTTGTGTAATGTCAGCTGAGTGTGTGGCACAGCAAAGGCAAGGCGTGCGAGGAAGAAGTGGAGCTCCATGAAATGAGTACAGTAGTTAAAATTTGAGTGAGCAGAGGAAGAATATTTTCTTCACATTTAGACAGAGACATTAAAAAGAAAACAGTAGGAACTTGATCAAAACAATTAAATTAAACATCTCTAATATATTGGTTCTGGTGTCGTATCATATGTCACAGAACTGCAGCAGCAGTTAGTTGTTATATAACACCCTACTCAAGAGGATTAACCCTCTGCTGTGCTGTCAAAGTGAAACATGTTCATTTTATTGTTTTATTTTGCCTTTTTTCTCACAAAGATACATAAAGTCACACCTGTTTTATTAGTGGTACAGTATGAATGTATGCATTTCATAGCTTCAGAGTCACAATTTGTCTTTATTCAGTTAACAAGTATTCTAACTGAATTATTTTATTTTTATTTCAAATGTATGATTCATTTATTACCTGAATTGAAGTATTAAAAAAGTTTTAAAAAGTATTTTAAAATAGGAGAGGCAGAGAAGCT